GAAAATGTCCACAGGTTATACACAGAGGGATCCGTAAAGAATCAGATGATGTATTGAATTTATTTATCGTCTTGTATACAACCACAATAACACTTATAGATGCTTAAAAAGTAGAATATGTTGTAATCAAACATGTTGTACTGTATGATTTGTCACACACTTAACATGCTTATGTATGTAAATGTATACTCACGAGATGACAGGCTGCTATGCATTAAAAAAAAAAGTGATTTGCAAAGTCTCTGTGGATTTAGAAAATGAGAGCTAATGGTGTCTGTACTCGGCTCAGGGTTGTTAAGCTGGATAGTGGCAGCATATGCTTACAGAGCATACGGAATGTACTGTGGGTCAGCTAATGCTCTTCGGCGGCTGAGGGAGGCCTCAGGTGGTAAATAATTTCCCTGCGATAAAGATGATCTAGAAAGCACAGGAAGCTGTATCTGCCTGTCGGTCAAACCGTCACCAAAAAGAAAGCAGCAGTCCTCGCAGTAAGTTTTCGAGCTCCCTTTAAAGTTTATTTCAGTGTAGAAACAAACACTTGAAACCCCATTTGTGCTCTGAGTGCTCTCTTGATAAGGTTATCACTTCTGTTGGTAATGGTATATAGAAGAACCTTCCTTTGAAAGCAAAGTAATAGTTCACTTTCAGGGACACTCAAGTCCAAGCTGGGGCTGATGTAGCTGCCAGAGAGCGGCATGTTGAGAGGGTCAATAGAGCCTGATACACGAAACACACTCAGACAAGAATTACAATGGATTTTAGGCTCAATATCACATCATCGCAGCTATTATTTTTTTTAAGGTATGGGCACTGATTACATATTTGCATGACTGCAGTGAATAATGACTTCCTGCTGAATATCTATAATGACCCTGCCTTGTGTCGCTTGTGTAAAGTTCTACATGTTTCTGTCCAATTCATATTCACATCTTCTTTTTTTAACTCTGTTTTGGTCTCTACAAACACCCGAGGGAAATATCTGAAGTTTGCTTTCTGAAGTACTTCATCAATCAATCCATAATCAGATAACATCATTCAAATTCAAGCAATTTCTCAGCTAGAAAAGATCTCCGTTCTTGGACTAACAATTTGTGATTTGAGGTAAA